AAGCCCCCTGAAGTCAGAATCCAAGATAAATACACACACATATGCACGCAGTCTGGTTTTCATGAGTTCTGAGGACTTTGCAGAGACATAATCCCTGACCATTTATTCCCAATCTAATCCTACAGTAACTCCAAACTAAATCTTAGACCTAAAAAATGCTCTCTTTCCTGGTGGAGACCTGAAAATGTCCCCACAAGAATAGCTTTACCAAGACCACACATACACTTTACATGACTGTAAACACAGGAATATTCCTGTTGCACTTGTAAATCTAGGACAGGCCACTGGTTTTAATAAACCCTCGCTGTTTTACATATCAATCAAATACACACACACAAAAACACCCAGACTTTGCCAACAAAGTAGAAATGTAGAGTTCATGATGCCAAGTTAGAGCTAACACACACACACACACACACACACACACACTTACTCACACCTAGAGAATACAACCTTTATATGAAAATGACTCTTTCCTCTGATTTAAAGGGACTTCCCCAAATTGGTGTGTGTGTGTGTGTCTCTGAGTGTGTGTGTGTTTCCATATGCAGTTTTCCATATTCCTGCTCTCCAAAAACCACACACATATGCATGTTCCAGACCCTGTTCCAGACTCACGTGTTTAAAGGTGTATGTTCGACATGTTGGATATGTTCTTCTGCTTTCCCCTACCATTCATCATATCACCAGACTGGCCTTCTCACACCACAGAGGATGTCCTTCTTTTTCGGTTGTGAAAGACCCTTGTCCAAAAAGTACACACAAGGCTTGTACTTTTAATATTTGAATCATGTATAATAACGCATTGAAACAAGTGGAACCTGTCCTTTGCACATTTTGACCACTAGATGGCAGTTCAGGACCTTGAATTGGCCAAGGTCTTTTGACCCTGTTCATCCCTTGTGGTAAAGTCTGAAGCGCCTTTTCTATAGAGGTCTGAGACTCCGAGCTTAGATACGGTTGTGTTTTCGTTGTATGAATTGCTCAAAGGCACCTCCGTAGGGCAGATACTTTGAATTCCAAAAGTAAAGTTTTTTTGAATCATTGAGCACAGGGTTAAATGTTTGAAATGTCATTAAAAAGCTTTAAGTTAGATTTACATGCAGAAACTCTGTATAAGCAAATATAATTTTAAAAAAAGTTAAAAACCATAACCTATTGAAATCAATATTTTCAAATTTGGAGGAAAATCCCAAAGTGACATATAATAAGAGGACCTGGCAACTGTGCTTTGTTTCTTTGTGTTTTGTCTCCCTTTCTCTCTCTCACACACACACTCACACGTACACACACACAGTGGGAGGCCCAGGCTGTGCCCTCAGCAGTGTGTCCAGCCTCTATGCTTTGTTGCGTGCTCACGTGTGCTTGTTCAACATGTCTTATTAATGACACTAAAACAGCAGTTTCCTCTGCTGGGTCTGAGCCGCAGTGCTCTCATACTGGACTCTTTGACATATTATACCTGGGCGTGGGTGTGTGGAATTACACGTGCCCGGTTGCTATTATAGCTCAGCCTAGACTCTAATTTTCAGGACGTAGCACTGCTCTTTTTGCTGATGATATGGTGCTGCACTGCAGACCATGTGAGTGTGCTGTTTTGACCCATAGTGGAAACTGACTGAATCCACAGCGTTTCTTATCTGGGAATTTGGTTGGCTCCTGAGGTATCCTGTTGTTTTTGTATTTGAATTTTATTCTGCAGTAGAACACCCAGTGAAAGTTAAACTAAGCTTCTAGAAAAGTGTGTGATTTGGTGTAATTGCAGTGGAAATGGAGACTGATCATTAAGGTACTTCAGTTAGTTGCCAAGTTTATACTACAAATAGTGCAAGTCGTATTCTATATTTTCCCCAGAGACCAATTTAAAGAAACCATGTTTCCCTAGCTTAGCATTTTATTACAGGTGATCACATCAGTGTTCATCCAGTCTTCTTCAACCTCTTAGTCATACAAAGAGGGGGCGCTGGAGCCATATTCTCCCTGCAGTCATCTGACAATGTTGGGAGCAATTTTGGACAGTCCGTTAGTCCAACATGGGGCACCATATAGAGACACAACCATTCACACTCACATTTACACCTGTTGTCAATTTAGAGTGGACAGTAACCACAGTAAAAAAGTTTGGGAGGACGCAAAACTATACTTGTTCTATAATGTCAGTACACATTTTGTTTTTGTCTCCATCTCTGATGGTTATGATGGTTATGTAAATATTGGTTTAATCTCTAATGTCAGTTTGCTGACATTACTAAATCCAGTAAAAAAAAGTCTAATTTTTATCTCTTTTTATCTTTAAAAATGCTCTTCTTCAATAATAAAGATAAGGTAAAGAGGCGTTCAGTTATATGTGATGATTAGTTAGATATGACACCTGGCTTCAGTCAGACCAGTCTGTGACAAGTCTACAGCTGACAAGCTGATGACATACTTGTCAAGTGGATTGTGAGGAACAGTTAATTCATCTCAGCTTCAGCCCTAGCACTTGATCATGTCCTTTATATAGTTTGGAAAAAAAGTAGCACTTCACTCTAAGACATAATGAGTTCAGTTTCTATGACTTTTTTTTTTTAATCGACGGGTTATTAAAGAGGTTTGTCATTACACTCACTTGAACGTGCACAGTACTGTGTGTGTTTTCGTTCTTTCTAAATCCTCGCTGATAGAAGGCGAGAAAGTGTGTGTGTCTGTGTGTGTGTGTTTAATGCGCTGTAGGTGGCTGTCTCCCTGACCTCTAGTTGACAGCAGTGTGAGTTTTAATAGCACATTGGACCTAATTATAGTCCTCTGGTCACACAGTCCCACTGCTTTATGGCCTGTGTGTGTATTTCTGTGTCAGGACTTAGTATAACCTAAATCAGACTCTTTTTTTCTCACAAACACACATCATTTCACACATATATAGCCAGAACCAAGACTGTGTGGAGGTGTTAATGGAGATATCAGATTCAGCCAGAGGGAAAAAATGCACCCCACACCACAACACAACTTCATGGTTGAAATAAAACAGAAGCCATAAACGTCGTTTAAGATCATCGTTACCTGTATATTAAAAAAACAAGTACCAAAAGCCCAGAGTCACAGGGTTCGGAATGTGTCGCACAGAAAGTGCAGTTCCTTCTCCTATAATTCTTACTTTTAAACCAGTCCATGCCTGAGCCACATTTTTCAGAGCCAGTTATTCATAAAACATGTCATGAATTGGCTTTTTACCTCGCTGAACTTTAAATCACCTGCCTTCCAATTAGAGGCCCTAATCTCTGCATCGTCTCTATTGCTTCATAACCTTTATCTTTTGGCTGATGTTCTCAGCTAGTTGCCACAGTGAAAAAGACACATACATGATTTGGCTCAGGCTTCACTGCCCTTCCACACACAAACTTCCCTACAACCAAAGTCCTTTAATTTAATTGTATTTTTATTATAATTTATTTTGTATTTTGTGTTTCCCAACCTCTTTGAGCCACAGCTCATATTTTGCATTAGAATTTTTTTTTATAACCATCTTCTGCCAGCTAGTGGAATAATATATAATTGTTCTGCCATCATCATGGTCGCAAAGACAAATGAGGATAAATTAGTTGCAGTAAATTAACAACAGTTTTCAGACCAATGAAGTTAAATTGGAAAACATTCCAAGATTTTGCACAGTTGTTGGGAATCATGCTGTAATGTAACGGCAGTGTCAGTTGGTCCCACAGAGCTGCCCCACCATTATAAAACGGTTTTCCATTTTATTGCATGTTTATTGAGTTTATGTCAAATCATTTTAATCCCTGACAGTGACTGAGCTCCGTCTCTTTACCCCCCCCCCGCCCCCCCCCCCAGGTCACCACTCGGTGTGTATCCAGTCTATGGATGGGATGCTGATGTTCTTTGAACAGGACAGTTACTCCTTTGGCCGATTCCTACCTGGTTTCCTGCTCCCAGGACCACTGGTCTACAACACCAGAACCGACAGCTTTCTCACCGTGTCCTCTGCACGACAACTGGAGAGTTACAAGTAGGTTTTGGTTTTTTAAATGGGCCAACCATGTTTGTTTCATCCAGCTAACAACATGACGAGGGTAATTCATTGGCCTTTATAAAGGTGGTGTTCATAAAAAAAAGCTTTTATCCTGCAAATTACTGCATTATCTGTGGGTTAGTGTATAAACTTATAGAAGAAAAGCGTGAGAATTACAATGTGATTGTTTCAAAATACATACTTTTTTGCATCTCTATTGTAAGAAAGGTAGGAGCAGCATCAGAAAAAACACTAAACGTGCCTTTAGTTATGATGAGTCAGCTGATAAAAATGCCTTCTTCACTGATTGGTCCATATTTCCAATCAGAAACAGACATAACCTGTGAAAGCAGTAAATGTGTTTTAACTACATCTGCTGTAAATGGCCCATGAATTTCACTCCACAAAAGGACACGCATCATCAATTCAGATGTGAGTAAAGCATGTGGATCCCCTTTAAATTTCAGGCGGTCATGAAAACATCTGCAGATAAAAATAACCCGCAGGTGTGTGCTTCTTAACGCCCTGTTTCTGTATCTGATGTGTGTAATTCAACTGTGTGCAAAGTGCTAATTATTAGCTGCTGATGGGTAGTGAGGCTACACCATCCTATAGGCATGTGCTCTCTCGCCTGATCGTCTGGACGGACTTGAACTCGCACACACGAATGCGTTTGATCGGAAAGTACCTAACTTTAATGTACGCAAACGCACACTTCCCAGCTCCCTCCGGCCGAGATGTGGAGCTTTTAGATGTTTTACAGACTGTGAGTGTGTGGTAGCCTCCTCTCCCAGCTGTTTGTTATCTAGATGCCCCACTGAACCCCCCAGTATCGAGAGATTCTCCAGACTAGATATCAGTGTGGAAAGGCTGACTTCACTGCTCTCCCTGGACACACACAAAGCACACACTGTAGTAAATTACACTGAGCTCCCGAGACACTTTAAAGCACCTTAAAACACACAACGGACCAGTGTTTCTAATATCTTCAAGACCTTTCTATCAGAGTTAATATTTGATCTTTACTGCAGTCAAGTGTTTATTTCAAAAACACACCATCGCCTGCAGTTTCAGTACGTGACAACCTCTGACCTGTTTAGATTTTGTGCAGGAGATTTATCCTCGGCAGGATCCAAAGGGAGAGCTTCAGCCAACTCTAGGTAACAGTCAGTGAAGGTCAGAAAGGTCAGATCCCAAGGTCAACATGTAAAGATATACACTGTAGTGAACCAAATTAGCCCAGTCCTTCATTTGTATCTTGCTAGACTGTAAAAGGAAACACGAATTACCTGGAGGAATCCATGCAAACTTTACACAGACATCATGAACTATAATCTGAAGGCTGTCTGAAACCAGGTGTTCATGATGTGAGGCTACACTCAGGTTGATATTTTTTAGTGAAGATGCAAAAAATGTGACCTGCAAACAGAGACTTAAATTACAATCAGCCTCACAAACATCAAATAATAATGTTAGGCAAAAATGAGATTTTATTTGAGTGTCTGGCCCTAAAAATGTGCCAGACATGTTTAATTTTTTAAATATTTTTTAGAAATATTAAAAATTATATTTTCTGCAAGATTTTTTACATTAATAAATCTAGCAGGTGACTTACATGAAGATCATTATACATATGGTATATATAGTTATACTTGGATCCAGGTCCTTTTACATGTAAAGCATGTGTGATAACCACTAAACTATAGAACATACGCATTCAACTGCAAAACCAATGATGAATCTGTGCCTTTAAGTGGCCATCGTCGCCAATGACACCACTGGTTTTTATGATGTGAGAAAATAATCCTCCTTCCACCTTGATTCATAATGTCAGCAAACAGTTTTCTGAGAAGTTCTTGGTTTCAATCACTACGTTCTGATCTGCAGTACAGCGCGACGTTGGCTGATGAGCTCCGGCTTCCTGAATGTAATATATATTCTGTATCAGGTGTCGAAGTGAGGGCTTCCTGACTGTTACAAATTTAATATCAGATGACTGGTCAAACTGTTCTGCTGCACCGCTGCGTTTATTTAGCCTGTTGGACCTTCTCCTGCCCTGATGAATGAGCACTTGATTTCCTTCATTCCTTCAGGTTTTTTTTTTGTGTGTGTGTGTGGGTTGGCGTCAGCTTTGAGCTTTTTTCTTTTTTTTTTACAACCGCGACACTAAGAGGGCAAAGGTATGTTGTGTGTGTTTGTGTAATCTGTGTCTGTGTGGGCCAGCAGTGTGTATGTACTTGAGTGAAATATGTTGAAGGTAAATGAGTGTTGTTTGTGGACTTCAGAGAGATTGTGTTTCATATAAATGAGACAAATGTTTTCTTAACCTCAGTGTCCTGAGCGCTGGATGATGACTGATGCTGCTCACACACACACACACACACCGAAACTGTGTCCATGTGTGTGAGACACAGAACACTGAAAACAAAGTTGAAATGGCAAACAAAGTAAGCGGTCCCAAATGTACAGTATGTTACAGCCTGTGTGGAGTGTGTGCCTCTTTACGACGTCGTCTGGTATGAACACTGACCCTATCAAGTCCAGAAGCTCTCATGTGGACCAAAGCCTGGTCCTAATGGGGCAGAACCTCATCTGTGAGTACTAGAGTATGGTTAAGTTGAAGCATAACAGTTGACTGGTTCAGAGCTAGGGAGAATATCCATGTGAATAAAAATAACAAAACCAAGTTCCTTTCTTATCTTATCCTGTGAACAGGTGAAAGAAATTCACACCGGAGAATAATCCTCATACCTTTTCTCATATAAACACACAGGCAGTAGTAATTCCTACTGCTACCCCAAAACCCATCATTAGCAGAGCATCGAAATAGAAGTTGGAATGGAGGCACCGAACCACAGCTAAAGAAAACAGCTATTTTTAGAGTTATTTTAGCATTATTAGGCTCAATATAATCCATCCATCCATCCATCCAGGAGTTGGCCTGTTGATCCTTTGACTGCTGCGTCAAAGCCCTAAAACGCCCGCTGACATGTTTAATATAGTTTTTAGTCTGTTTTCTTCTCCAGGAAACGGTCACGGTGTGATGAAAAGGTTTTCTCTAGTGGCAGTCATCCATAAAGCAGCTCGTTAGTCTACCAGAGTTTTCTCACAGGGTCTCGAGGATGCTGCTGCTGCTACCGTACAAGGCTGTTTGGAACTGTTAATCTTAGATTAACATTGTGTTGTGTTATACACAGTAGTCAACAGGACTTAAGCCCATGTTTTAGTGCAAAACACAGGAAACTAATGAGGCTGCTCAGTTGTCTAAATGTATCTGATCTCGAAGCTGCAGCAGGTGAGCTGTAATGAAACAAAGCTCTCTTCATCTGAAATAAAACCAAAGTATAGAGTTCCCAATTGGCTAATTCAACCACATGCTGATGCCTCAGACTATGTAGTACGGCTGCACACAAACAATGTTCAATTGGTCGCCTTGATAAAGGTCAAACAGAGGCTAAACAACAGTAAAGTATCAAGATGTTCTGTGCCATAGTAATGTACTATTAGGTAAAGAAATGTTTCGAGGTGTGTGTCTTCCTCAATCATTCCCTCCTCTGTTGGTGGAAGCCACATTGGATTAACGCACAAACCTTTCAGGGTACATTTCATACATGACAGCTCTGATTAATAGCACAATGTTGGTCCAATTGTACAGTAATAAGTGAAAGAAAACTGTGAGCAGCAGTTATTTGGTGTTTGGTTTGCGGTTCAGAGTTGGGCTTGGTCAGGTTCGCAGCTCTTTGTTCCTCCAGGTGTTGGAGCTGAGAGACTAATTCCCGCCAACTTGCTTTGACTGCCAGATACTTCCTGGAAAAGTGCAAATGCTGGAGAGGCCAAAATCAACTGACCACAGATCAGTCTGACTGCTCCTTTCCAGCTGTTTGTAGATTAAAACTGATTGAGTGCAGTCGCAGCTCTCCTGTTGTGTTGACGGAGCTGACAAAAGCTGTAAAAGTAGAAGAAGAATGGAAGACATGGACATAACTTAATAAAGAACAGGCTCCACTTTGGTCAAATGTGAATAATTGAGGTGTACACTTGGAGTTCTGCCTCGGTGTTAAAAACATTTTTCGCAAATAAATCACTAATGTAATGTAATGATGTCCAAGTTGGATGAACACAGTCTTTTAGTGTGGACTCCTCTCACTGAGGACACGTAAAGTTGGGGTAGGCAATCCATCCCATACTGGAGAGCCTACAAATATTGACCCACTTATGTGAAGTGTATTATTTTCACACAGAAAATTGCCTTTTGTTTATTTTTCTAGAGAATAAGGTCATCTCGATCAAAAGGAAAAGCAGTTGTCCTGATCCAGCAGGGTTGTGGGTTTAAATCCTAACTTAAGCACAAGAGGATATTGGATTGACGTCAGTATCAGCATGTACTCCAAGTTGCAGTTGAATTGGTATCGAACATGAAAAACTTTTATTAAGCCATATCTAACAACAACAACAATAATAATAATTAATGTATTATAATTCCAACAATTAGAATTATACAACAAAAATAACAATAATATGTCAAATATTGTTGACATGTGTGAGGTCAGTCTGCTCCCTGTTCCTACTGTCTGCTGTGGGGGCCAATCAGTGTCATCACCCTCACCTGTGTCTCTGCTCATCAGTCTCACTGGCCCTGTGTGTATATACCTCTCTCCCTCACTCTTCCTTGTGGGAGCACTGTATCTGTTCAGCTCAGTGTCTGCGTCAAGTTCCCAGTTTGTACTTTGTAGTTCATGCCTTGTCTGGTTTATGCCTTGTTCCTGGTCTTGTGAAGAAGTGAGTTTTTCTTCTTTTGGCTTTGTGAATAAACCTGAAAAGAGTCTCTCTCTGGTACTGCACTTGTGTCCTGCCTGCTTCCCACCATGTGACAGACATATCAATAATAATAACTACAAAAAGTAATAATAATTATAATAATAATAATAACTACAAAAATTATTGTTATCATTTGTATGATGAACAGTCAAGTGCAGGAGCAGAACTATTTGTTAATTAAATAATCTTGTTTCCTTCTTGTGATGCCCCTTTTGTTAGATATGAGACCTTGGCTGTGGCCACAGAAGCAGAGAGTCGTCAGGATCCAGACCTGCCTCCAAAGACCGGAGGCAAGAAGCTGACGGTGAGACGTTGTAACCGCAGCTTTTACAGGAAATGCTTCCCAAACGCATTTACGGCCCTTTTTCTTTACTTCTGAGTAATTCAGTTCTCAAAAACCAGCCTGACCAAATTGTGATTTTGGTCTGATAATGAAAGATTTACTGTACACATCTCTGCTTAGAGGGGGATTTCTAAAACATGATGCAATTTTATTGGACACTGCAAAACATAAAACAGCAGTCAGGATATCCTTTTCTATATCAACTCTATTTTGAGTTGATTTAATTAACATTAATAGAATCAAAAATTGAATTGTGGAAAAGTTACTCTGAAAAAAAAAGTCCTTCATCTACACATTTGTTTTTGTCAATCAATATTACTGACATGTAAGTACATTAAGGCGAATCATGTCTTCTGATGAACCTTTGTGTGTGTGTGCTCCTTCAGCCCGACTGGACGTTCATCCTGGGAGAACAGGCCCTGGACCTCTCCGTTCCTTCCTTCTCCCACTCTTCTGCCTCTATCTTCATCTTGGGTGAAAGGAACCTTTACTGTCTCAGAGACAACGGCCAGATTCGCTTCATGAAGAAACTGGAGTACAACCCCAGCTGCTTTCTTCCCTACGCTTCAGGTGAGTCAGTGTTGTTGACCTCCCGTACACTGGAGAAAATCCACATCAGTAAAAAGGGATGCTGGAATTTACCTAAAACCTAATCAGATGTTGTTCCTTTCGGAAACCTAATGAAGAAAAGCCATTTAAGCCATGAGACAAGTACTCAAAAGTCAGTCACTGTCTGCAGACGCCCAGTGTCACATGATTGGCTCTCCAGGAAGCTGTCTTTGGCAGAACATGACGGAATAAGTGGATGAGCCTCTGCTACAATCATTACAACAAAAGTGCTCACCGGTGTGCAGCACATAAACACATGGTACGAAATGACTTTATGACTTAATAAAGTCCAACTTTTGGGTTCGCTTTTGCGAATGGAATTGGAAATTGAAAATGTAAAAAAGGACTAAACAAACCGTTTAATTCATAAATCAGGTGTTCAAAGGAAAAAAAATAGATTTCAAGCAGCATTATGGTCAAACATGGTTAGGGAAGAAAAATCTTTGCTTTTTTGTGTTGCGCTAAGCAGTGAATAAACTTTTTTTCATGAGCAGCTGCTTTTTACAGTAAAAGAAAAATCGTTTTATTTCTCTTCACGCGAACATGAAGCATGAAGTAATTCCTGTTAAGTATTGTACTTGATCTGAAGAACACTTGAGAGCTGACAAATGGAAAGAGACAACAAAACAGGATGTGAGCAAACCAAAAAAGGGGACACACACACACACACGGGAGGAACAATCCTCAAGGGAGGACTGATTGATAGATGGTGAGAACGGACAAAAAGTTTTCAATATCTGGTTCTCATTTTATCAAATGAAATATGTCAGCAGTGAAAGTGACCACCACTGACTGCTCCAGACATTATTTAGATTATTTAAATTACTCCTGGAAACCGGCCGCAAATTCAGCTCATGATGTGTCGGCTCCACAGAAACGGCCTTTATTGGGACATTATTCCTGTCAACTATAGCAAAAAAAAGCCACATAAAAAAGTAAAAATCCCCTCATGCTTGAAAGAAAAGACAGACAGGCTCCATGGACCAGGCCGGTGCTGCTGAGGTCCTGTGTGTGTCCATTCTCCAGTTTATTGTTTCTAGTCCAACATACAGTGACTAAGTGACTGTTAGAGCTGCCACCCACCATTCAGAGAAAGGCCAAAATAACACTGAGTGGATGTTGTGTAGTAGAGAGCGCGGCGCAGATGAGAACAGACAGCGTTGATCTCCTGAGTGTTTCCTAACGTTCTCCTTCTGGCCTTCAGCCTCACAGCTGCCGGTGCTGGACCACTGCCCTCACCCCCTGCCCCAGCCGGATTTCACCTCTCTCCCTCCATCTGTCTGTCTCTTCCTCTCTGTCTCACAAAAATTTTACTGGCTCCACCGCTCAGCGCTCCGAGCTGCGAGCCAAAGTCTTGCGCTCAATGCACTATAAAATAAAACATGACATCCTTAAGAAATAAAAGTATATGAGCCAAACTGGTAGAAACATGACAAACAGGTGACGCACTGAGGCTGAGCAGAGTTGACGGCTTACATGATGCTTTCATGAAACTATGAAATGTGATGTAAATCTTGTGCTCACCAGCGCTCAGTCTTACTGAACATACTCACGCTGTAAATACACTAGACCCTTTGTGTTTTCTTTTCAACTTTCACTAACCTTCACAATTTACATCAGTTTATTAGGTTAGAACCAAGTATGACAATATGTAGGAGTAAAACTCTCAAAGGGGCCCGCGATCATTTCCAAAAGATTATGATATAAGACATTACTTTATCATGTCAGTAGATCATTAGAATTGTTATTATTATTTTTGGGCCCTTTCTCGCAAAGGGCGGGAATCGCACGTTATCTCAGACACACAATGACAGAAAATGATAACATCATGATGGAACAGTTCTGCACTAAATCAAGATATCTGTCCAACAAAAGAAGCCAAAGTTCCAACACGAAAGTAAAATCAATTCATTTGGAAGTTTGAGTCCAGTCTCATTATGCTCAGCCCTGTGATGCTAAGTGCATGCTAAGTTCTAACTATAAGCTGTAGCAGTATCAGGAGGACGAAGTATAAAAAAATGCATGAATTAAAAGCCCTAGGGAAAGGAGGAAAAGAAGGGAGGAGAAATGAAGTTGTAAAAAGTAAACCTACTGTTTGTGAGATGCTCAGCTTGAACATGACAGGAGAACGTGGATGGATGGAACCTTTATAATTAGGTTGTAATTATAATGCTGATGCAGTGTTGGAAGGTGTGTGTTTGCTTTGATGTGGCACCAACGCTCACTCTGTCATTTTGACCCCTGTGCTGTACCACCCTGCTGACCGCTGTTACTATATTACGTCTTGTGTATTCAAGTGTGCCCGTTTGTTTTGCGTGTGGCCGTCACCTCAGATCTCACTAGGTGGTAACTGCAGCGCTGGTGGGATCGGCCCGACGCGTCTGACTCCACGTGTGTCGTAGCAAAACATTAGCAGCTAAATTTAATCTTTCTAGCCGTGAGTCACAGTAGATCTAACTATTTGTCTAACTCTGGACACACACCTACCAAAACTGGCCTCGTCTTAAAATAATGGCTGACATAAAGCACAACATTGAACCAAATCACATACAGATCTTAGATGTAAAGAGATGTTTTTTCTACACCAGAGAGTTAAGGTTGCAATTGCCTAAAAGAGCAAAGCAACCCACCACAGGAATCTGTTATTTTTATTCTCTGTGTTTTCTTGGATATGTGAATATGTGCCACTTTTTTCCAAAACCAAAAATCATAGACGCGACCATCGGATCAGTGCTGCTATGGAACAGAGACCGGGTTTCTGACCATAAATGACTAAGTTTAATCATCACAGCCCAGCACAGATCTGTACTGCACGTCCAGTAACAAGTACGCAGCTGACTGCAGACTTCATCTGGGGGTTTGAACTCACAATAAGATCCTTGTTCTGATTCTGCTTTTACGATTGAGAATGAAACGTCTTCTCTAGAGTCATCTGCAAAAAGAAATACTCTCATATTTTTCAGACATTCATGTAAAAAAAAAAAAACATGTTTGTTTTGTGACACTGAAAACTGCTGTTAAAGGACATTATGATACAGACAAACAGGTAGAAAAAGACAAACTACATCAAATGCAATCTGTGCTGTTTATATTAATGTTTTAACATTTTTTATAAAAATAATGTGCATTCTGAAAACATGTTGGCTTTGTATTAGTAGATGTCTGTACTGTGTTCTGCCTTAAAGTCAATTTAGTTAAATCTAGTGGAGTGTAAAAGTTCTAAATGGTCTCAATAAGACACAGCTTACTGTAATTTGGACAGTCTTATGTTATAATTTATAGAACGTTTATAAAAAATGGACATAGGCAATTCCTACCCAAAATACTCTGTTGTGGTTCAGTTTTTCCATTTGGTTTGTAAACTTCTTCTGTTCCTTTTGTAATCTTCTCATGTTTTGTCCCCTGCAGTGATGGACGGCACCACCAACCTGTTGTTGGGCAACCATACAAATATGCTGCTGGTCTACCAGGATGTGACTCTAAAGTGGGCAGCCCAGCTCGCCTTCGTGCCCGTGGCCGTCCGAGTTGCCAACTTCCCGTATGTAAAACAACAAAGCCACAACACAAATTATATAGACCCACATGTACGGTGCAACTAGAATACTAATGTGTAACACACACACACGCCGTATCCTGTTCTTATCAGCTTGTGAAATCCAGTGTGTAAGTTTTGACAAGACATTTTCCGACTTTGTTTTAATGCCTTCCAACTGACCAATCGGAGCGAGGAGGGAGGGGCAGCTGTACCTAATAATCTGGGCTTTTCAAAACAACCCCAATCAGACCGCAATTTGACACAATTACAGCCGGAGAGAAAAACATGGCTGAAAAATGATGGTGGTTTTGTGTGACTTTGTGTGAGTCTGTGTGTGTGTGTGTGTGTTTTAGATTCAGGAGATAGTGTGTGTCTGGAGCGCTGGTTTAGTTTGAGGTGGTGTTGTTTTAAAAGTGCATGATAGTCATCGTTGTGTTGGCAGGACAGTGTGGGAGAGGGAGACACACACACACACACACACACACACACACACACTCTATGGCTCCACCAATTTAATGCGGCTATTTGCAGTTTACAGCCATGTCCCATGAGTCTTTGCTCCGCTATTTCGGGGGCAATATTAAATTGTTATTACTTAATTTTGCACACCCAGTTTTTAATGGTCAGTTGGCCTTTGGCTGTCCTCATCCACCAGAGGCAGAATGACGTCTTTAGAACTGTAAATAAAGACACCATCTGAAAATCAGCACTTTGACTGACATCAGTTAAAGGAACAGTTCACTGTTTTTTGAGGTTGGGCTTGTTGAAGGTGTCCATAGATAAGTAGTTCTGATGATGCTGTTGTGATTGGAGTTTGAAAGCCTTCGTCTACGTAAACTTTAACAAATTACTGGTGACCAGTAACTGTATATAGACTACAACGGTGATACTGAACTGGTGGCCCAAAGGCCAAATCTGGCAACCCGAACCATCCAATCCAGTCTGCGATTGAATTCCCAACTTGTTTTGTTCCTCACTATTACAGTGACAAAAATCAACAACTGAGACTTAAATAACTATCAGTAAATCATTCATTTATGACTCTGTTTACATTCTGTTAGACAAAAAAATGTGATTTTCATCAACTTATTTGCATCGGTGCCAACCAGTGATAGATTAATTTGTATTGATGGGAGCTGTAATATTTTCCCCTATGACAGTAAAGGCATCACTGGCTAAAATCTTTTAGCTTGGACCGCTGGGCTTTAATCCTAAATTTTAAACAGACGTCAATACTTCAACGGATGAAAGTTGATGTACCTGCACATGAGTATGACTGTTTTGTCTACCGCCCTATGGGATACAAAAGTGATTTAAAATATTCAATTTTGCTTAATACAGTTGTGACTTCTGATGGGACATGTGAAGGATGCTGATACCATTGGAATCATTGAACAATAAAACACTAGATGATTAGATGTAAAAGCCATTTTGGTTTGGACACTTTTTTTTTCTTCGGGCTTGTTTTCTGCAGGTGTTGGACATCGTGCACATGTGTCTGGCTGTTTTGCCGCGGTGATAACAGTTATTGTGATCTATGCTTTGGGGCTCAGTGCCTGGTGTCACAGCTAACATGTCTGACAGCAGCTGCTGTTTCCTCATGTCTGTTTGTCTCTTCGTATTTATGATCAATGGGTTTTATTCCTCTCACAAGTGGTGGGAAAATTGTTTCTCCTTGGAGTATGTGGAGGAAGGTGTGTGTGTGTGTGTGCTCGTGCGCATGTTAGCTGTGAGAGTGAGAGCTGTCGTTACGGATATTTGTGTGAGTGTAAGTTAGTGAGTGTGAGTGTGAGTGTTTCCGCTGCACTCAAGTGAAAGTTTAATTCCCCCTGCAGACACCCTCCTGTGCAGGTGTGCTGTTGGCTGTTGCTCCAGACCTGAACCCTGCGTGTGTGCATGTGTCGGTGCGAAAGTGTGTAAAAGTGCATTACTGCCTGACAACCACAAACCATCTGCAACCAATTATTATGCACACATTTATACACACACACACACACACACACACTCAGTGAAAACACACAGGCCTGCAAACAGCTAACCCAGTAAATAACCCTATTAAAGTATCCTCACAGTTTTCTCTGCTCCTCCCCAGGGAGTTGAAGGGAGTGGTGGTCAGTCTGAGTTCAGATGGACACCTCCTGTGCTCCTACATGGGCACCGATCCCTCTTTCTTCTCCACCCCAAAGGTGGACGCCAGAGAGGCAGACTATGAGCAGGTAGATGCTGAGATGAAGAAGCTGCAGAAGTTCATCAGAGAGGCTACGAGAACCCAGGGTAGGAGTCTGTGACTTTTTTTTTTCCTTTGGAAAACGTGGATATTAATGTGTGGGCTAATCTTATTGGAAAAAAAAGATGGCTCGATACATGTCCAATACCGATACTGCAACTTAGAGTATCTGACGGTTGCCAAAGCGATTGCGTCTCCGTATTCGGCAAGTTGCACAAAATGAAGTTGAGCATTTGGGGTTCGGTATTTGATCGAAGGGGCTATAGCTGGTTTTTTTTTTCATTCAATCCTGACATTTTGACCAAAATCGGACCAATGTCGATCCTGAGTATCAGATGGAGCCATCCATAGTTTATGCTCAGATTTCCTTTATTGTTCTATTGACTATAAGCTGATGTTGATTTGACAGTTTAGGAACAGTACAATGTCAGGGATACGAAGAATTTTGGTATGATTTTATAATGTAACCAGACCTTTGTCCAATTTAATACAGTCCATGTGAACCTGCAAAAGCAAAACATGAATCACTTATCCATAAAATCATATCTTTTTAACACAAACAAATCCAGGTGTAAAAAAAACACCCCTAAATCTAGAGCCCAGATCTGCAAACCTGCTCAAACAGCCAAGGTTCTTCTATCCTGAGAGCTTTCAAACAAAGACAACTGAATTGACTTTTCAGTTTCAGTATAAAAGAAGCCTCTTGGATACGAGCTTAAACTTCTTGGCCGGCATACTTGTTGTCTACATCACATGGACCTATGGGAACAGAGAAGGTTCTGGAACAAACTCAACTTCTGACAAGTTGCACAGAGTTTAAAACAGCTTTGAAAAGTAGTCAAAAAAAAAAACTCCAGGCGAGTGTTAAAAGTAGGAACGATTTTATTGAACCAGTGTGTGTCGGCTTGTGGTTCTTATCAGGCTCATAAAAAAATAACTGCGTGCCAAAAATCTAAAACTGTTTGTGAGAACAATACTGAAAAATAGTAAAAACTAAAAGAGTAAAACATATGGGACACGCCCTTAGTTTAAAAAAAAAAGATCTATAATTCAGGACCTTTTCGGTGCTTGGTTTCCCTCGAAGCTCTGTGTTGACGTAGTTTTATATTCGATTTCTGTTGACATTTCAGACATCCTCCCTAAATCTGATGCAGAGACGGACCTTACTGTCAAAGCTGCCGTGTCCTCCAGCATGGACACTCCGTCGGTAAATAAAAAGTGCATTCAACTTTACTATAAATGCTATAGTAAACAAGCAAAGTCAGAGTGTTAAATAATTTCTTTTGTTTACAGCAAGCTGTGATTCCAGATACAGATGGTCTGTCTGTACCTTCAGTAACTGTACAGGTGAGCTGCAGCCTTACACTGCTAATATTTTTACCTCCAATGAATATTTGTAATGAAATATAATCATTTTCTAGCTTTAATTTACTCACAGTTTATTTCAGTGTGAAGCCTACCCCTGTTTAGTTGAACATAACCCTGATATACTTACAGGAATTGAAGAAAGACACACACAAAAAATCAAGTTTTTTTTTTTATATCTTCTGCTGCCACCAAGTGGACGATTATTTAATTCTTCTGCCTCTCACTACTGCATTTATTTTCTGTAAATAAGACCATTTTAGTGAAATTGGGTAATTTTACAAGTCACACCCTACGACACACTAAAGTGTCATGGTACAGTGGTGGGAATCACTGCCGTAGACCCTCTTGGTTGGTATGAGCTGTTCTCCAACTCACTTCCTTATTTTCTCCTATCCAGGTGAAGATAAAGGCCAGCTGTGTTCTTCAGGCTTCAAAGTTGATGGTCAGCGTTCAGGCTCCACTGGCCGTCACCAAGGACCAGTTTGTCCTGGAGTCCATGGGTCAGTGTTTTACTTCTTTGCATTAGTGGATGTTCACAGTGTGGTGGTGTGTAAATGACATGCTTTCTGTATCCTTCTTCTTAATAGCAATGGCTGCTGTTAACATTTAACATTATTGCTCCTTAGAATCTCCAAGACCTTTGTTGAATTGCATTATGTTGTGGTTCCCACAATGGGCTGGGCCCTCAGTTGGAAGCACAGAGCTATTACAGTGGCTGCAGCAGTAGAGGAATCAAACTGATTTGTTGCTTTCGTTAGTTCTTTTTGTTGAAAATTACACCAATTGAAATAAAGTTTAGTGGAAAATTTAGCTCTGATTGTGAATGAATGTGAAAATCTGGATGTTAGATTCCAGTACAGTTGACATGTTAGAGATTCACACTATAATAGTTTAATAGTTTTTAGTTTAATACTCATTAAGTTTGGTTGGTTAAGTTTGCTGTGTTACATGTCCATAACATTGGCAGAGCCTGACTGAGAGTCAATAATTGTCTGAAAGGTCTGCGTTTATAAGGAAACTAAAGAGACCAACTGCTACAGATCCAAATCTAATAACTCCATTAGTTCAGCACATGATTTTCCACTGAATGAAATCAAATTTTGAATTGAAAAATACACACAGTAATTGGGGCTTTTTAAAACATAAATGTCTAATAGGATAAATGTAACTGTTGATATTTTTAATTTATGAGGTTAAACATGGACTGTGACATCATGATGTTTATTCAACTATGACTTTGAGTAATGAGAGCCGACTCACTGGCCGGTGCAAACCACTCATTTCTGATTCTGCCTTCAGATAAAAACAAGTAATAAAACAAAAATGAATACAAATGAAATATTTGGAGGATAAATCACGAGGAAAGGCCAGTTTCTGCAGCTGCCTTCCTGTAACGTCTTTCATCGTCTGATGTCAACAAGCATCTCTGTTTCTTCCTCGCTTCTCCTGCTCTCCCAGTCACACACCACACACTTTTCCAGCTACTCGCCTGTCCTTCATCACATCCTCCTCACTCCACACTCTCACACACTCTCACCCTGACAGCTAAGGGAGTGAGGTGTTAGCATGCGTGTATTTGCTCAGCCCTTATCGGCCCTTATTCCGAGTACTCTGTCATTAGCCGTTGGTGAGATTCGGTCACCTCAACCAGACGGTGGTAACTTTGATCTGCATCGCCCCAGACGCTACGTACGCGGAACCTCACAACCCACGCTGCTGATATCAGCTGTCGGCTTGTTAAACGAACATCAGCTCTCCTGTAACACCATATTAATCATTAGGATGATCATTCATCATCAGTAGGTCCTGTGGTTCCTTCCTCTCCACTGCTTGTGTACAAACCTACATTCTCAGGCTGTGATGAAAACCAAGAGGCTTTTATCAGAGGCTACCATGAGCACACTGATCCAAGATGGGCCCCAATGGGAGGAGAACCTCTAACCTGACTGTGCTGGTGCCTTGCACTGCCTGTTGATCTACAAATAGAGTTGGAACTGTGGCTGCACTGGATCAACATTCAAGTTTTTTTTGACAAATTCCTTCTACACTGAAAGCGATTTCTTATTTTTGATAATTTTATAGTGGAGAAAATGTCATACTTTAAAATAAAAAAACAAAACTGAAGCTGTTTGTAGGAAATTGATGTAGACGCCCATGCTTAAAGTAGAGTCTTATATTAAAAGTGGAAGTGTTTTGCTGGCGACTGTATGACCTGCAGTTCACAGTCCAAATGTCACTCAATTTCTAACATTGTGTTGGCTTAATATGTTGAGCAATAAGTGCTCTTTGTGATGATGGCTGTACACTTGACAGAACTTGTCCTCATATGACCTCTTGTGGCATTAGAGATTGAAAAACTTCTTCAGGTTTTAATGATTGCTGACAGACTTTGAGTTGTATTGCTGCCACCTACTGGTCCACTGGTCTTTGCTGGTGCAGATGAACACGGCATTTCTGTTATTTATGATTTATTTTACCTTGTCCTTTGCAAAGCCATTGGCTTTATACTATCTGGGGTTGTTGGATTTGTCAAGATCTAATTTAGCTCGTGTTGAATTTGGAGACTGTCATCGTGTCTGACAGACCGTCCATTCTACCAGGAGTCACAAACTCAAATTAGCTTGGGGTCTTTCCACTTGTGGGTGAAATTAGTTATTGATGGTCAATAAAAAAAGTTGATTTTTGGTTTTGGTAGAAATACTGTATAACAAAACAGTGAAATGAGAACAGTAAATTGACAAGTAAAACAATTGATTTATTTTATTGAAAAATTCCTCAACAACAAAATTAAATTATCTAGTTGCGGGCCAGAGTTAGGGTTTTCATGGGCTGGAAGTGGCCTGCGGGCCGGGAGTTTGCATTTTGTTATGATTTTTCCATTAGTGAAAAGCAGACTGCAGACGTTGATGCAGAAGTATTTGTGACAAGTATGGGTCTCAGTCTGACTTGTGTAGTACTAGTACTAGTATCCTATGTGAGATAAATTCAGCCAGAGTTGGTTTTATCTTGAGGAATGTGGAACATGCAAATGTGTTGTCAGTGTTGCAGTAATTTTTTACAATCTTATGGTTTCATTATTAAGGTATTAAATGGTTGTTGTTTCGGTTGACTCTTAGGCAACATTGACAATTGGTACTTTTACCCCTCCATCCTGACAAGGGTCACTTCTCTGAAATGCCCCTTTATATCTGCTGGAGTCCTCATCAATCATCATCTTCTTTTGCAAATTGCAAATGTATCATTTCAAGATGTGAGGAACAGCGTTCTCAGGCGAGAGCAACGCCATCCGTTTATTCTGCACCCTGAATCAAACTGACCACCGCTTTCTCATCATTCATGACGCGTTTAGTGAGAAATCCAATGCCTTTAACCACAGAGCATTCTTGTGTGTAAATATTCTGTACGTGACCTCTACACACTTAATGCAAACACGATGCAAATTTCTAACATCACAACATATTTTGCCTGGATTTCTCACATCAGAGCCAGGTTTTAAGTGTCCAGCAGTTCTATACTCTGACATAACTGCCTCTTCATGTGTTTTGGATTGGCTTAAAATGTCTTTGATGCTCCTGTTTATAATATATTCAGTTGTTTTGTTCTGCTTTTGTCTACATTTATTTGCACTGCTCTGCCTTCCTTTTTGGCAATTGCAAGTTCCCTGGAATCATCATTTTATGAAAGCAATTAGCTAATGTATGTATATATGCTAATTTGTAATGGGTTTTAGTAGAACTCTTTTTTTTCATGTAGGTTTGTAAATTACAGTTTCGGTCTTTGACTTCTGGGCCTCCTTTAATCCATCATGCAGCTGCCATCGCCGTGGCTTTTGTGGCAAATATTGTGTGGTTTTAGCCATATGTCTTTTTTGTACATTCCATTCTATATTTGTTGTACGATAACATGTCAGATCCTATTCATTTGTAGCTTTTTTCAAGTAGATGAACTGGCAGTTTGTCTGTTCTTTTCCCCGTCCCCTCTAACACACACACTCATTCTCCACTGACTCTCAACATGTTCATACTGTTGTAGCATTGCTTTAGCCTTCTGTTTCTCAAACAAAGGGTCGCCAACCACCGAGACCACAACTGAGCCATGGATTGTTTAGTATCGGCTCAGACAGAAAGAATAAAGAGTTTCATTTATTTGTTTCATATATACAAATTGGCCTGTGTGATATTTTGTTTTGAGAAAAAAAATAAATACCACTATGGTCGCAACTAACTTCAGCAAAATTGCGTAAAGACCATAATGTGGAGAGCTTCTTTCAAACAATGGAGTGACCCACTGATGAAGCAGAAGGCTTCAAACTACCACCCAAAGGCTCATTAAGTTATTGCACAATGCACTTGTCTTGCAATAAAACTTGCCTGTGGTGCAAAAATAAATAAAAAAATGGGGACCACTGATTTAGACAGTTTGTTTACAGACACAGTTAAGTCTGGTAAATTGTTGAGGTCTTGACAAGTATGAAGCTGATGGGAATAGCATTGTTTCTGTCTCATTATACTAATAAAAAAAAGAAACCTCTGGAATCTGAATTCAAAACATCAGGATACTGAAAAACCACAAGAATTGTTATAGTTAATGAGCCTTCAAGTTTGTTTCTTCTTTGTGGCTGCTTTAACTGAGAAAACGTACTAATAAGAAAAGAATAGTCACAGGCACAGAGTGACTACAGCTGTGTCATGTTTATACTAGCTGAGGTCCAGGTCAGTAGGGTCAGATTCAGGAGCCTTGTCAGTAGAGACGTAGTGACATCCACAGGGATACTCATCCAGGTCATATAAATACTCCCACTTTCATAAGCGTAGAAGTACCGGAACATGTCACCCACGTCCTGTTGAATCCACACACACACAGGTTAAAGTGGAGAGCAGCAATGTCCGTTTGTGTTCATGCTCTTTTGACTTCCGTTCCCCAGTCTCTGCCTTTCAATCCTCACTCAACAACTGGCTGCAGGGAAACCTGAGCCCTCGCTACGAACCAACCGCGCTCTCTCTCTCTCTCTCTCTCTCTTTCTTTCCCTTCACCTCCCTCCTCTGCCACTTCACTGACCCTTCTCTGCCCTGCTTCAGCCCAGACTCCGCCTGGCTCGGTTCCCAAGCAGCCTGACCAATGGCACTGACCCCAGGAGTCCTTTGTATCGCGAACCATGTGTTTCACATCCGATACAGTCCTGTAAAATTAAGAAAAAATAATTTAATGGAGGCTGATGAAGTTTTAATGAATGTCAGCTGACAGGAGTTGGACCTGACTCACACTCAGGGAGTTTTTCTTTAGGATTTGATCCAGAAAATGTCACTCCTACTTTATAAATTGCACAGGAAGCTGTTGGGCAGTAGTTGGACCTGTACACGGTGTACATTAAATGGAAGCACAATATATTTGTTGATGTAAACCATGCAGGCTATTACCAAAGAAAAGAAATCCCACAACAATAACAAATCATTTTCAGCACTTTCCACTTCTGGACCAGAAACACAACATGAAATGCTCT